CAGCGGCTACGTGGCCTGGCATGAAAATTAATCGACAGTTCCATCTTGGATCCCGGATCCTACGTCAACCGGTGATAGGCTGGAATCAAGGAAGCTACTGTATTTTTTGGACATTTCACATCGATCCTTGGGGTCACTGAACGTTTGTTTGAAGACACTTCCGATCGAAGAATAGGTTCACTATCTGATCACTGGAAATATCGATTGCAAGGTAAACGAATAGGCGAACGATAAGTTTAGATACGAAGAAACGGGGATCGTAAACGGTTATCGAGCAATAAGTGTGCCGGTTATTGTATTCAATGGAATATTAATTACGGAATGAGCGATGCGAAGATTATTAATGTAAGCAGATGAAATTTGATTACCCTTTTTATGCCTCTGTTCACAAGAATTGTTCGCGGCACACAAAACAGTAGCGAGGCCGTCGTTTAAAGCAGCTAGAAAAACTAGAGGAGATGCATATTATTATGCGTTGACTGGCTCCATTAGCGTGGGACAGCCAGTCGGAAGAAACTCTAGACGATCTTCAAGCCCGTGGCACGATTTTGTTCGCGCTCTAATTATAAAGCGCGCCGGTTCTCATAATCCCTTGCCATTTCCGGATTCCTAGAGATCACTCAGCTCTCTTCGACCTGAATGGAACGGTTGCGAAAGAGAGGTCTCACTTTTTCAGAGAAATTTTGCCGTCGGGAGAAACGCTTCCCATTGATCGGTTTTGTGCCTCGTGCACTGTAATTGATGATCCCTGGGCTCTGGAGCGCACGAAAACAATGAAAAAAAGACTGTTGGTAAACATAACCTAGAAACTTAGAACCCGTGAATTGTATCAAGATAACGTTAGAAATAATGTTTGTTCGATCGATCGATTCTGCGATAATTCGAGAAAGTTGAGAACACAAAATGCAACGAAATAAGTGCACCGTCAGTCTCGCTCGCGATTCTTGCAAGTTTCAATGTACTCGGATCGGAAATTTTTAAGCGTTCCGTGGAACGCGCAGAAGTTAATTCCCTTTTCCGTTCGTAATTCTGCGCGCAGATGAATTTAATGTTTGCTGATTAGAAAAGAGGCAAGGCCGTGCAATAGGGTTTCCGTTGAAAGGTGTCGTTTACCTTGCTTTGAAACGGGGATACGATATACCGGGTGTCGTCGGCAGCCGAGCGCTGGGTTTACTGTTCTACTCGAAGCTGCCGATAACGATAAGCCGGCGATACCGGCCCTATTTTTAGACCCGGAATGAATCAACCGAGTGAAACGCGTAGATTCGCCATTCAGCTCGGACGCCGATGTTCATGAAGGACCTCTATTGTACGCAGATTTCGTTCCGCCGTTGATTCGAAAACCCGAAAGTGCCCCCGAACGCATTCTTCGAAGCACGGCAGCGTTTTATGGGGCTTTATGAAATTCCCCTTAAACCGACCCCCTTCATTATAAGACACTCCGCCGGCATATGGTGACTTCGGTGACTTCTATTCCGCTTCGCTGCTCCTCTGCCCCTCGATTTTTTTACAGTTTACACTCGATACGCCAGATTACCCCGGATTTTTGGAAGCAGGACTTCCTCTTCTTCGAATTCTTGGCTGTTAACTTCCCCATTAGGACGTTCATTTACAGATGACTTTTAATGGCTTCTGGGTGGGGACGGTTTTCGGTAGTTTTTCACGTGTTCGTTCCGGATCGTAAAGGCAACCACTGTTTTTTTAATTATACCGCTCGGAATTCGTCGAACTTGGCGTTTAAAATAACTTTATATTAATTGAAACAACTTTTTCGGATCAGTACGCATGTAATATCTAGGAAACTTGCAGCAGATTCCTAAAATACGAATTGAAGTTCCATTCAAGACTTTTTATTCTAGTATTGAAACTGGTGGCTTAGTAATCGAAGTTCGATTGGTCGGAATCCTGAATTTCTGGCGAACAGTATCATCGTCCAAATTTCGGTTTAATGCGTTGTTATTGGAGTTAAAGCTGCAGAAACATGACCGCGAACGGTCTGGAGCGAAGCGATACTTTTAACCGGAACGAGCACCTCTTTCAAACAGAAATATCCCAAGGTGTATTTCGGGTTGCGGCCCATAACCGGCTGGAAGATATTGATGTCTCGTAACGGGGTGGCATCTCTCGTGTACGCTGCTGACGAGCCGCAGACCTCTCTTTGACACTTGCACCCGACGGTTTTTCTCTCCTTCCGCGTTGTTTTCTCTTTCATTAGCCGCCGCCACGGGGAAAGCATTTCGTCGATCGACCGGTCGACCGGAACGGTTCTTCTGTGGACCGATCTTCGACAGTCGTGTCGCTCGTTCACCAGGAATGCACGAGCGAGCGTATACCGTTAGACCGAATCATTTCGAGTACGTGTTTCAGATACTCTTACTTCTTGGAAAATGTCCAATCCGCAGTGGATTCTTAATTAGACAATTAGCGACGAAATGTATTCTGCGTGTTATTCGTCAGTTTATTAGAGTAAAATATATGTTAATGGGAGCATCGCTAAATCTTTATTCGCAGGTTTCCTCTGTTTATGGGGAAAGATTGAGGATCTAGAGTTATATTGGAGTGAAATGTTGGAACACAAATCTTGGGAAGCTAAACATTTTAGTATCTTAGCATTAAGTTACAGAAGCATAGATTCCTTCGAAGAAACGCTGTTTTATAGAGATCTATACCAGAAGTCTGCGAAATCTATAAATAAACCTCGAAACCGAAGAAGCTCCCAGAGTATCGATCGCAGACGAATTTCGATCGATCCCGGCGGAATTCGGAATTCCTCGAAGAAGAGCGGCCTTCGCGGAGACCGGCGGCGCGGCGGCTATAAAAAAACTCGGACAAAGATCGTGTTCTCGTTACAGGAACACCTGAGAATTCCACGGAAACCGCACGAACGTTTCGCGCGTAAGCGTATCGGAATTCCAGCGGTGAATCAGAGAAATCGCGGGGCGCCTACGCGTTGCCGCGTTGTTTTCGCCGCGGGGCCGCACGAATTTCGTGTATTTGAACGGGGCCGGTGTTTACGCGAGTCCGCGTGTATACGCTGTTCGCGTTTGTTAGGGTCAGCACTCGCCGGAACGGAACACACGCCGCCTCTATCGATTCTCGGTCCTCGTAAAACGCCACCGAGAATTCCACGGCCGACGGCCGCTTAAGAATCCCGCTGTTTGTTTAGCCCAAGCGCAAATAGGGCTGCGGCCCATGGCGCCCGGCATCGATCAGGCTATCGGAGATAACACGCGTTGATACTGGTTTCCGTGTTCTGGAGCCGACATGGTACTCGTCAGATTGAAATAAAGCTGTAAGTGTTACGGTAATAACTTATGGCGAAGCGGATTTTAATAGAATTGCGATTCAGAATTGGGAACTGTTAGAATGTCTGAGTTTTTCAAATTGCGATGTATACTGAAACTAAGGAATAGGGTACATCCTGTAGAGAACATTGTGAATTCTATAACCGGAACAAGATATCCGACATTTGTCGAGGCACGAACCCGCGTAATCCTTGTTTGAAGTGTCCAATTTGTCGCACAATCTGCACGCGCGATATAAAGGGCACATATTAACGGTATAAATGGCACAGGAAGGATAATCCTCTATTCTCGGTGAAACGTGACGGTGCAATGTGAAGGTAGCTTAGCGAAAATCTCTATTTACACCGAGGAAATGATTGTACGGACACGTACGCGGCTGTGGCCCTTGCCATACTTGGCCACAGGTTATTACGGTCGGGAATATAGCGCAGCTTGCGGTCATAAAATGCGACCTACACGTGTTTCTGTAAAGTTTGGGCGGTAGTTGCGAACGTGGCGGACAGGCCGGAGTTTTCGGCTTGTAACATCTGGCTATTGACAGGTCGGAATTGGAACGGGTGGACCGTAAAATCTGAGCGCAATTTGCGGCTGTTAAAAAGCAGCTTGGGGCGTTTAAACTGTGCGAGAACGGTAACTTGGAGCAATTGCATCATTGAGTCTTAATTAAAACCTTTAAGCCTTTAAACTTTGACAGATTATTGTTCGTTGAATTCTCTGATCATCGTCGTCAGAATGTGACTAAAACTATTGCTCGATCGAGAGCGACGATGTTCGTGGAAAAGGGAAAAATCGATGGGCGGTTAAAATTAAATTTTTATACACCTTTCTATTTATTAATGTTATGGGCCACCGTTGTACAAACGTAAACGCACGAGCGCACGACGCGCGCATCTGCGAACGGGGTGATCTGGTGTCTGGTTTATTTTCGGTGCACGCATCCCCTCGTAGCCGGCGTATCTGAAGGGTTGATAGCGTTTTATGCGGCACGCGTGGCCAACGTCTGTCTCCGAGTTAATTATGGACTAATTGTCGACCCTCTTGTCGCGCCTACGAGTCTTCGGCATTTTTTTATTGCTCGTCCTATGGCGCACAGGACGTCCTCTTCCTTCCTCTCCTTTTCTTCCTGCGCTATTCTTCCTTACACATACGGCGTCGCGCCTAATCCTTTCTTAGAATACGTTCCACGCCCTAAATCATCTTAAACCCAAACATCCCTTGGGGGACCAGCGATTCTCTAAACAATGGATTAGTTCGAACCCTGAAAAGTCTTGTTACAATGGATCAGTTTTGATAAGTGTATCGTTACCTTTGATTTACAATAGCCCTGGAAGTAGTCGTTGAAACCTAGACAATCTCTACTAACAAAAGGAACTTTTTGCGCTGAATTGTCTCATTCTATTCATTTTATTCGATTAACACGTTAAGCGCCACGAAAGTCTTAAGCGTTTTCCCATAGAGTTTGTCTTTTGTAGCAAAGAAAAGTAGGAATACTTATGAATTGTTTGGCGTTGCAACGTTTGCGTTACACTATTATCAACTCAGTTGCCTTATTAAACATTTTTATTTCACATCGGTTGTCTTGTATGTTACGATTGTTTTTTAGTCATTCAGGAGCGTCAGTCACCAGTGGCTGATATGGCGCTTAACGTGTTAAGGAACCGTTCATCACTAATAGCGACACTTTTTCCATTGCAGACGACAATCAAGGTGTACGCGAACTGTCTGCGACCAGACATCGAGTACAAGACCCTCAGCATCACCTATGAAACGACGAGCCGCGAGGTTGTTCAGAACTTGCTGAACAAGTACCGAATGAGGCACCGTGATCCCAGGTTGTTCTACCTCACCATGGAAGTCACAGTGAGGAGACCGAACATGAAGACCGTCCTGGCGCTAGACGAGGACGCCAAACCCGCTGCTCTGCAATCGTGTCATCCTAGGGGCGATTCCAGGTACGATCGAAGTACGCCGCGGTGTACTCTTTTCGCTCCCCTTTCGGTTTCGCTCGGCTTCGTGATGTAATTTCAGGGCTCGCGACCGACCGTAAACGCGACTTCTTGTGGGTCGGTGAGCACGAGCCAACGACGAGCAACGTCCTTTCCACTGATTCCCTTTGTTCTTGGCCTCCAGACTGGAGCGACCACGCGAGACGCCTTTATTTATGCCGGGGGAGTTCTCAAGATTTCTGCTTTTGCCGGACGTGACCTTTGTTTTCTTGCTTTTCGAACTTATGTCAGCTTCGTTCGATATTCAAACTTTTAAATTCTCGAATCTTTGCATCTTCGAATCGTCGAACTCGGAAGTTTTATCGTGAACTATACGCGAGACGCCTTTATTTATGCCAGCGGAGTCCTCTAGATTTCTGCTTCTGCCAGACGTGACCTTTGTTCTCTTGCTTTTCGAACTTATGACAGCTTCGTTCGACCTTTAATATTCAAACTTTTCAACTCTCGAATCTTTACGTCTTCGAATCGTCGAACTCGGAAGTTCTATCGTGAACTATACGCGAGTTAAACAGAGCCTCGAACGAGAGAAAGTCGGGCATACTGACAATCCTCGGCACTCGTTCGGTTAATATTAGCGGTAATTGTGAGTATTACGTGAATGAAGGAAACGCTTGATTACATATTACGCGCGAACGAGTAAATATAGGCCGAACGAATGTTTGGATACAAAGTGTCGAGGCTACCGTCTCGCGACAGAAAGCCCTCATAGTCACCGATGTTTTCTCGCCAGCTCGGAAACTTCCGGCGAAGGTATACGTTACGTAGACGAGCGGTGTTTGACTAGAAACCAGGGGACCAGTGTTTTTACGTGGAAGTAGTGTTCCCCGATTCCCTTTGAACTACGCCGGCGTACTGCGATATCCAGGATTCACGGATGTTTTCTTGTGTTGCAGATTCTCGTTGCAGACGCGTCGCGGCGGACTTGTCAAAATATACGACAGCGCGCTCATGTCCGGGGTAAGTCGGCGTGTTAAGCTGCTTTTAAACATCTTTCCCCTCGTTGATTGCTTCGCCATTTAGTCCGTGAAGTTCTGATTACTTTGGAACAATCGTCCGACTGATCCAATTGCGTCAGTAAGCTGTGTCCAAGGTCGGACTTCGAAACAATCCTCTCGCACATGGTTGCATCTGATTTCCTCTTCTTTTACAATTTATTTCCATATATAACAAGGTTAATTAAATAGACCAGTTAATTAATTTCGTGGATACCTTGGTAATATCTACTTTCTAAGCTTTCACTGTTAGAGGAAGTGAACATCAAATATTTGACTAATGATTGTCCGAGTTCAATATCCTTTTATTTCTACTTTGCTATAGCTAAGATGAAGATGATAGCTTGCATAGAGGTTATAATCATCGATTTCTCGTTTACAGTCCAAGTACAAGAGTCTGCTGGTGTCCGAGCAGACCACCGTGGACGAGCTGATCCAAATGCTGTTGAGCTGCTACAGTTCGAAGGAACGCGTCGAGCAGTTCTCTCTGTACGAGGTCTGCGAGGGCGAGGAGTACCAAAGGAAACTGCATCCGGACGACTCGCCCCTCAAAGTCACGCAACTGTGGACAAGCGTCGACCGGCATCTCCGCATACGGCGCAATCCCGATTACAATCCTCACCGGAGAAAAGTGAGTCCCCTCTTTAATAGAAGAATCTTCGTTAAAACGCAAATGAGCGTGGTTATTAAGAAGTCCGACGATCCTTCTTCTCACGCCTCGAACAAAGACATTCTTCCCATCGGATCTCCCGCGAGACGTCGAAACGCAATTACGCGGCGCGTACGAGCGCATCACGCCGCGGCGAGTCATCCGTCGCGGGCATTATTCATAAGAATATAATAGAAAGTCAAATTCGTTACACAATCGTCGTTGTTTGCAGAGCATGTGGGCGTCCGACTCGAGCATCAGCGTGGCGATGTCAAGACTGAACCTGCACGGCAACCATCAGGCCCAGTACAACCAGGCCCACGACAACAACAACCATTTGCCGTTGTACCACAAGGATGCCGCGTCCATCAACAACAATAACATTCACAAGGTGGACAATCATCACCTGTCTCTCAGCTCGTTGAACCAGCAATCCAGAATCGTTGTTCCCCACGCGACGCAGCTGCCGCAAGTGCAAGTGTCTCGTGTCCAACAGTTGGCGCAGAGCGTGCCGACGACGCCGCTCTCGTCGAAACACGTCACGGCATCGTCTTACGCGGACTACGAGAACTATTTGTTCATATAATGCTAATGGACAGGCTGCGACGTGCTAACTTGGCAACCAGTTGTCTCCCGATATCGACTTTCTTAGCTCGTTGTCTCGGGACGAGATTTTTCGGAGTCTCTGGGTGTTACCGTTGTGTCAACGCGTTGAACAGTATTTGATGGTTCGGTTAGTATGCTTCGGGGGGAGTTACGAGCAACCATCGAGGTTCGAGATTATTTATTCAGGTAGCTGTTTAAGCTTGACAGAGGTGTGCAGCATGGGTTTGCGTCCCGACTGAGTCGCGTCGGTCAAACAGAACAAAGAGAATTTACGATCATAGTCAATAGCGAGAAAAATTGTACCAAAGGTAGCCGTACGGAATTTTAGGTATGTAGGGTATCCAAACGTATATGTGTAAATGTTCTGCGTTAGAGAGGTATCTTAAGAGTCGGAATGTAGTCACAGATCGATTCCATGTCGTTCTTTGATGTGTTAATCCTTCGAGACTCGCGTGAATCCGCTGCGAAATTATTTGATCGTATTAAAAAAGTTGTAAAATGATGAACGATGATTGAGAAGATTTCACGAGTAATCGTATACGTTCGAGATGTTCGAAGCAGTCTCGAAGGATTATAAATGTACCTACGTAAACTGCATTTACTCGAAACGCCGCAAATTACGTTTATTATTTATTTCTGATAACTGTAAATCGTCTACGATAGACGGAGCTTGGAAGTTTAAGTTATTACGCGAATCCTGTATGTAAATTTCGTCGTGCAATTAGATTTAAACAGGATTCGAGCTCGTGTACATAGAAACAAGCACAAGTGACGAGTATTCAAACGAGTTTTGGCAATCGACGCGTTGTAAATTAGGAATACAAATGTCAATTCCGTTTGTTGATTTCGATCGATCAAAGTCGAGGGATTATCCTCGTGTTCTTCGCGGTTATTCAAAGATCGAACTTGTTATATTTTTTTACAGACACATTGTACATAGACACCGGAACGTTTCCTGTTTCGTTCTCGTGAGTTTTGTTACGGTGGTAGTTGGATCCATTGCCAAAGAATCGGTACGATACGTATATGAAACCTGTTGATTCAACATTGCGACAAAACGAGCAGCCAGGAACGTTTCTCATCGACTATTCCCGATCACTTATTAACGAAACTCAATCGTCACGATGTCATCACGGCGATTCCGTGACTTACCAGCAACTGTAACAAGTACAATGAACCTTGTATTATTGTAATACGACACAGTAGAGTGTAAATATTCTTTTGTATCGTCGTTTATAATTCACCGAAGAAAATATCATTTCACGTGGCTAAAACTTTGTCTATTCACTCTCACCTTTATCTCGTCGACGATCGAAAACCTGCAAATCTATAAAGTACACGAAACGTTATACATTAATCTATCGCATAAGTCACGAAAATTCATTAGAGACTATCGAGATAATAAGTTACCAAATTTATTAGAAGTCACCAGAACAATAAGTTACCAAATATATTATAAATTGCCGAAACAGTAAGTCACCAAATAATATATTATACGTTACCGAAGAGGGCTGACCAGATCCGAGTCGAATAAATCGAAGGTTGTCGTGTGATGATAAAAATTTTATTTACAAATGCGACAAATGTAGGAATTTTGGGCACCAGTGACGTATCGGAGAGAAGCGAGCGGTCTTTACGATTGGTCGATTACCGGATCGCGATTACGTGCTTTCAGACCCACCCACGGCTCGGAGTCCTCCCGCACTTTCGCGCGGGCGTGCAAAAAATTCCCCCGAAAAAAC